TCTCCCTATGTAAATAACTGCCTAATTTATAAATGTAATACAATCTCAATAAAAATAAGTTTTTTTATGGAATTAGACAAATTGCTATTAAAGTTCATATCAAAGTACAAAAACAGTTGGGAAAGAAACTGAAAAGAAAAATGAACATGCAAGAATGTCCAGAAAACACTGAAAACAAAAAATTGCAAGTGCCTGGTTCTTCACAGTCTCATAAATAGAATATGTAACAAGACTTTTAATTTTTGCCAGCCTGATAAGAAATAGTATCTGAGTGTAATTTTAAATACTATTTCTCAAATTATGAGTGAGTTTCACATTTCCTCATATGTTTGAGAGACATCTTCATATCTTTTCTGTGTGAATTGTCTGTTGATAACTTCCTTTTAATTTTTCTTTCAGGTTTTTGGTCCTTTATCCCTTAACTTTTAAGAGGTTGTTATATATTAGGAATACAAGCTCTTTGTGATACATGTTGCAAGTATTTTATCACAGTTTGACGTGTATTTTTAGTTTGTCCATGACGTTTTTTGTCAAGCAACTTTAAAAACAATGTTATGGAGTCAAACTTAACCTTTTATTTATAGAAAAAGAATGAAGTAAGCCTAAAGTAAGTATAAGGAAGGAAATAATATAGACCTGAAATTAGTGAAATATAAAACAGAAAACAATGAAACCAAAGGCTGGGTCTTTCAAACATATCAATGAAACTGATAAACATCTAGCTAGACAGATGTAAAGAGAAAGAGAAGACAGAAATGACCAACACCAGGAATGAAAGTGGAGACATTACTACAAATTCTACAGATATTAAAAGGGTAACAGAGAATACTATAAACAATTTCATACCAAAAAAATCGAAAACTTAAATGAAATGGCAGATTTCTTGAAAAATGCAACTTACCAAAATGAACACAAATAAAACAGAAAATCTGAACACTCCTATAACAAATATTTAACCAAGAAATAATATCAAACCTACATAAACTCTTTCAGAGTAGAGAATCAAACACTTCTCAACTTATTTAATGAGCTCAGTGTTAACGCTGACACAAAAACCAGAGAAAGAAATTACAAAGAAAACCATAAAACAATATCCTTCATAAACACATCAGGGAAAAAAAATCTTTGAAAAATACTAGCAAATTGAATCTAGCAATATATAAAAAGGATACACCATGCTTTAGTGAGGTTTATCACAGAAATGAAAGACTGATATAACACTTAAAAAAATCATGTAATCCACTATATTAACAGAATATAGTGCATTGCAGTCATATTCAATCAATGCAGAACAAAGCATTTAACAAAATTCCACACCAATGCACTATAAAAATTCTCAGCAAACTAGGAACAGAAGGGAATTTCTTCAACCTGATAAAGGGCATCTGTAAGCCACTTATAGTTAACATCATACTTAATGTAAAAGGCTAAATCTTTTACCACTAAGGTGAGGAAGAAAACAAAAATGTCCACTCTCACCATTTCTATTCACCATTGTACTGGAGGTTCTAGGCAGGAAAACAGGCAAGAAAAAGAAAAAAATAGCATCCAGATTAAAAAGGAAAAAGTGAAAGTATCTTTATTATTTATTATAGACAACAAGATCGTGCATGTAGACAATGCTTAAAATCTACACAACAGATACCAGAACCAACAGGTAAATTTAGCAAGGCCATAGGACAGGAGAATAATATACAAGAATCAACTGTAAATCTACATACAAGCAATACAAAACTCAAAATTGAAAATTTTAAAATTACTACATAAAGGCATCCAAAAATGTGAACTACTTCAGTATAAATTTAAATTTAAAAAATTCTATGTACAACAATGAAAACTACAAAACATTAATATGAGAAATCTTAAAAAACCTAAATAAATACATATATCATAGTCATGGATTGGTAGGCTCAATATTAAGATGTCATTTTTCCCGAATGGATCTATAGACATAACACAAGCTCAATCACAATCCCAGAAGCCTTTTTTTTTAGTAGAAAGTGACACCTTAATCATATTATTTTAATGGAAATGTAAAAGACCTAGAATATCCAAAGAAATCTTGAAAAAGAACAAAGTTGAAATACTTATACTACTTGATTTCAAGACTTACTATAAAGTTACAGTTATTAAGACAGTTTGGTATCGGCTAAGGACAGACATGTAAATCAATGGGACAGAATATGGTTCAGAAATAGACCAAAATAGACTAAGGCCAACTGATTTTCAACAAAGGCACCAAGATAATTCAATGAGGGAAAGGATAATCTTTCCAAAACATGGTGCCAGAACAAGTTCATTTTCTTATGGGAAGAATAAACCTGACCCTTAATTCATTACCAATCATAAAACTTAATTTTTGTTCCACAAATTAGGCCTTAAACAAAAACTGATCCTTGTAATTCAAAAATTTAGCACATATCAGTACTACTTATTCTTACGAAACCCATAATACATGTTCATTTTCTTTAAAGTTAGAAACTCTCAAAAGTTATACAGCTCCCATCACTCCTTCATAAAACACTCAACAAATCAACAGTAGAAAGGAACTAACTGCTTCAATCTGATAAAGGACATCTCTGAAAGACCTACAGTTAATATCATACTTAACAGTGAAAAACTGACTACCTTTTCCCTAAGATCAGGAAGAAGAAAAGGATGTTCATTCTATTTATTCAACACTGTACTGGAGGTTCTAGCCAGGGCAACTGGGCAAGAAAATTAGATAGAAGTCTTTCCAATAAATAATGCTAGGACAACTAGATATCCACATGTAAAAGAATGACATTGGACCCTTCCTCATATTATACACAAAAATTAACTCAAAATAGATCATAGAGTTAAATATAGGAGCTAAAACTATAAAACTCTTAGAAGAAAACATAGAGGTAATCTTTTTGACCCTGGATGTGGTAATGACTTCCTAGACATGACACCAAAAGCACACACACCAAGGAGAAGATACATAAACTGGAATTCACCAAAATTTTTAAAATTTTGTGCTTCCAAGGACACCACCAAGAAAGTGAAAAGTCAACCCACAGAATGGGAAAAAAACATTCAGAAATCAGAAATCTAATAAGGGTCTAGTATCCAGAATACATAAAGAATTCTTGCAACTCAACATTAAAAAAGACAAATGACAATCAAAAATGGGCAAATGATCTGAATAGACATTTCTCCAAAGATATACAAATGGCCAATAAGTACATGAAAAGGTGCTCAACACCATCAGTCATCAGGGAAATGTAAATCAAAATCTCAATGAGATGCCACTTCACACCCACGAGGATGGCTCTAATAAAAAAGACAAGCATTGGTGATGGTGTGGCAAAATTAGAATTCTCATACATTGCTGGTGGAAATGTAAAATGAAGCTGCTTTGGAACACGGTCTGTTGGTCTCCCAACAAGTTAAACAGAGAATTACTATATGATCTAGTAATTCCATCCCCATACAATAAACCCAAGAGAAATGAAACATATGTCCACAAAATACTTGTATGTGAATATTCATAGTTCATTATTCATATTAGCCAAAAAGTAAAACAACCCAAATATCCAGCAACCAATGGATAAATAAAATGTGGTATACCCATACAATGGAATATTATTTGGCAGTAAAAAGGAGTAACATTCTGATATGTACAACAACAGAGATGAACCTCAAAAATATACTAAGTGAAAAACAACAGTCACAAGGCCACATATTATATGACTCCATGTACGTGAAATGTCAGAATAGGCAAATTTAGAGAGATGGAAAATAGATTAGTGGGTGCCTACAGTTGGAGGGATTGAGGGAAAATGTGAAGCGACTGTTAAAAGATATGAGGTTTCTTTTTGGGGGTGATAAAAGTGTTCTAATATTGATTGTGGTGATAGCTGCACAACTCTGAATATACTAGAAACCACTGACCTGTACACTTAAATGGATTAATTGTATGGTATGTAAAATATATCTCAATAAAGCTGTTACAGAAAAATACATTACAGCTTAAAATTTGAGAACTAGAAGAGGAGGGCCCATGTGAGGAGATTTTGCCTCAGATATTTAAAATAACTTGAATTGCAGCCACAGACCACCTCCTCTGCAGAGACTACACCAACAAAAGGAAATGATCCCTATGGTGACTTCGTTCTTTCTAAGACATAAATTTATATAATATATACAGTTTTCCTTTTAAGAATCCCATGGATAAGCTTTTAGTCAAAAATATCTAGGCTGAGACAGAGTCAGCTATAAAATTTTCTACACTTAAATAACAATCTTACTTTAAAATCAACTGTCTACCTGTGAAGAGGGAACAATGTCTAATAATGGTAAGAATAATAATAATCAGGACTAGCCTCATGATACAGCTACAAATAAAATTCATAACATGTGTCAGACACAGTGACAGAATGACATGTATCAGCTCCAATCTTCTCAACGATTGTACAATGAAGATGAAGAAATCGAGATCCATAGACTTACCTCTTCAAGGATGAGATAGCAAAGCTGGGATTTGAATTTAAGACTGCTCGTCTCTAAAACCTATAATCTTATACCATACTACCTCCTATCAAGAGAGGATAAAGCTTCCAACCAGGCAATAATAATATAGACTGAGCACAAATATGTCCTAATGTAAAATTTTGAAATTTTAGACCTCAAAGGCACCTCAGAGAACATCTACCCCAAGTATCTCCTTTTACAAATGAGACAACACTGTCTTTGCAGTCTCGGATCAGCTTTGGTTATTTCCACTACTCTCTAGCCTCCAATACACTATTAGACTATCTGCAAACCCTTCCTGATAGCCTGGACTAAATCAAACGAGGAAACATAGAAGACCTGTGTTTCAGAAAATCATAGACGTGCTGAACAAAGTCCCCCAAATTTATCTTTTTAGACTATAATAACAGTAAAAAATAAATGTTCCTTTTACTTGCCTAGTGAGCAGAATTCTGGTTACACAGAATTTGTAATACTGATTTATAGCTACTTTGAACTCTTACCTTTGTGGTCACAATAAACATGGTATAAAGGAACATAAGATTATGCCTTGATATTGCCAGATGCTTGGTGTGCTGGAACGTGAAGATAATTGACCCCAGCAGGGTAACCTTGGCCGCACTGAAAATCAAACACATTTTAAGTTAGTAGGTAATAAACATGGTCTATCTCTATATATCTCAAAGAGTACTCTACAAAATATCAATTTAATGAGTTATTACACAGACAAAAATGAGTTCTGTGAATATACTTATAAAGTTTTATAAGTGCTAAGTTATATAAAGTTAAATACGTTTCTTTACAGCATAAAGTATCAGAAACTTTAGAATGTTCATACATATTGTGACTCTCTGATAAAGAGATTGCATTTCTATATGCTAATATTTCTGAAACACATTTGACTATATAAAACCTTTTCAAAAAGATTTGGAAGTTTCACGTTCCATGGGGTGATTTGGAAAAAACAGATCAGTCCTGAAAAACTTTAGTGCTAAATAAGCTCCTTGGGGGGGGGGGGGGGGGGGGGCAGGAAAAGAAAGCTCTGATTTGTAGCGTCTTCCCATTTCCATGGTGTAAATACTCCCATCACAGCCAATTTCAGGCTGCTGTGGAATGGAGAAGGGATACACAAATCAGCTCTCATAAAACAGTACAAGCCACCTCCAGCACATTACTTAGCTAACTCCAGCACAGAATATTAGCGTTAACTAATACCTAAATAAATTAATGCCGAAATTTTAAAGTCTATAGTAAGATATTAATCTACAAGTAAGCATTATTTTTATACTATATATTTGCCACATAATTAACGTCTATCTCAGTAACAGATCATTATCCAGCTCTTTATGTTTACAACTAGAAAAATAAAAATGATAAATTCTTAGAATGCCACATTGCAAAATATGACAAAATTTAAAAGCCCCTATAAGCCATTTTATGAAAAATTAGTTATTAAATTATTACAAGCTAAGGACTGAGTTCAAAAGAGAGTTAGGTTTGGGCAACAGGGATTTGGACTTCGCTTAACAATATGACTGGGCAACATTCATGTTCTGGAACAGTGCTATCTACACTTTTTGACTGTGCATCCCTATTGGTAAAAAAAGACACTCCCTAGTATAGGTTTATCAATTAATTTATAAGCTATATACATGTACAGCTGTATTACAAAACATACACCAAATTGACATTTTAAAAAGATAAGATAAAAAACACATGTCTTAGGTTTGTCTTAATGTCATTTTGCTACTCTTTGTTTCTAATAGTTTGGTTTCTGCACCATAGTGCCTCATCATGGGCATCTCCTTAGCATACTCACATTCCTTTTTGGATTGCATTCTCTTCAAGCATAAATTCAGAAGTTTTGAATCTAAGGAGCAAAGATCTTGTAGACAATAAATTGGGGCAAGGCATTTCTAGTTTCCTGAGAAACTAGAAAATAAGCTTATATCTGCTTCCCAAATGCAAGGGTGGAATAGCACAGGGTAACAGTTGCAGACATTCCCATACCAAACAGGAGAAACGGAAGGAAGAAAGGGGTCACTAATCCTATGCAATTTCAAAATCCAGCAGGGCAAATTCCACTAGGTTTCGAGACCTGGGAACAATCCTCTGTGGCTTCAGGCTCCATCCTCTGAGTCTGCAGCCCCAACCCCTGCACTCATGACTCTGGCCTTTGCACCTGCAACTCCAGCCTGTGGGCCTGGCCTCAGGCCTCGAGGCCCACAGCTCCCAGCTGAAAGTCATTCTTCCTTTTCCCTGAAAGGTAGTTACACGCTTGCAGCAGAGCAGTTTTATCAGCCTGTTTCCTGCCTACAGAGTTCTGAGAGTCTGACAGTCTTCTTTTATTTCATCTTGTCTCTGTCCCTTTCAGTCCAAGCTGGTAGTGTTTCTGCTGACATAACATTTTCAAAAACCTTGTGGGTCTCCTGTGTAAGACAGAGGAATCCATGCCATTAGTCAGGATGGTCCTCCACCTAACTTTCCTGAATAATCTCATCTCTATTGCTGGCTTCTGCTGTGACAGCTGAATGGACCCATGAGTCCCAGACCTAATCTGCTTAACACTAGCAGAAGTTGCCTAGCCACATCTTTGACCTGCTCTCCATAGCAGGTTGTCCTAAAAATGAATCTCCATATTTTATCCTCTTTTGCAATATGGATAGCCTGAGAATTCCCTAAATCATTAAATCTTGGTTTCTTCACTTAGCGGTTATTTGTTCAATTCAACTCTTTCCTCTCACACTTTACCATAAGCAACAAGAAGAAACCAGTCCAGACTTTCAACACTTTGCTTCAAAATCCCCTCAGGTAAATATCCGAGTTCATTGCTTATGAGTTATGCTTTCCACACAACTGTGGCACACAATTCAGCAGTTTTCTGTCACTATAAAACTCTATCACTTCTTCTCCAGTTTCCAACATCATGTTTCTCATTTCCTTTTGAGCATTCACCAGAACCTTTACCGTTCATATTTCTACCAATATTCTATTTATGATAAAAAACGTATTCTAAGACCATATAGGCTTTCTCTACTATACAAAAGTATTTGGTAACAGGTAAATGAAACCTTACATATATACACACATACACAAACTATCCTAATGTACCAATGATCTATCTTGCCTGACCAATTGTTGATAATTAATTCATTCAGCTAATATTTATCAAGTGTCTAATATGTGGTAGGTGCTTGGGATACAAGAGCAACCAAAAAAGACAATAATCCCTGTCCTTGACATCTTGTATTCTTTCAAGGGTGGGGCAAAGCCAAGGAGAGAAGAAAATAAACATAATATCATATTCTAGAATATGATAAATGCTGTGGGGGGGGGGAAAGGGAGGTATTGCAATTTTAAGCATAGGAGTCCTCATTAAGAAGGTAAGTTTTGGGTCGGCCCAGTGACGTAGTGAAGTTCGTGTGCTCCACTTCAGTGGCCCAGGGTTCACAAGTTCGGAGCACGGACCTAGCACTGCTCATCAAACCATGCTGTGGTGGCATCCCACATACAAAATAGAGGAAGACTGGCACAGATGTTAGCTCAGCAACAATCCCTCAAGCAAAAAGGGGAAGATTGGGAACAGATGTTAGCTCAGGGCCAATCTTCCTCACAAAGAAAAAGAAGGTAAGCTTTGAGAAAATACTTTGAGCAAAGCCAATAAGGGAGTTAGCCACCTGAGGAAAAAGATTCTAGGCAGAGAGAAAAGCTAGCGTTAAACCAGACCACATCTAGCTCATTCAAAGACAGAGCAGAGTGAGCCACGGAGAGATAGTAAGAGATGAAGTCAAGGCAAATAGGGTGTGGCAGATAGGCAGATCTTGGAGGGTCTCTTTTTTTTTTTGTTTAAAGATTGGCACCTGAGCTAACATCTGTTGCCAATCTTTTTTTTTAATTCTTGTTCTCCCCAAAGTCCTCCAGTACATAGTTGCATATTCTAGCTGTAGGTCCTTCTGGTTGTTTAGAGGGTCTTATATAGACCATCTGGGGGAGTTACCGCAAGGGTTTAAACAGAGGAGAGAGACAATTTGATTTAGGTTATAAAAGCCCCAAGAAATGTTTTATGGAATGTACATTTCAAGCATATACTCAAAATGAGAAAAATTTCCCCTGAATATTACTAATGCTTTATTTATAACTTATTATCAATCAAAACCTCCTTTATTCTATTTCTAAACTACCTCATTCAAGCTTTAAGGCGTACTTTCCAAGTTAAATATCCTGGAATTTGCTGATTCACACAAACAGATACTTCACCATTCATACTGCTTCTCAACCTTCATTTTTAATCCACTCTAATAAGCTTATTTTCACATAAGGTCTTTCCTCACCCTACTTATAGCCACTGTTCACTAGTCTTTTCCTTCTTGAGTTGTGGAAACAGTAACTCTTATTTCTCTATTCATTTTCAGGTGCATCAGGGACATTTGTGACATTTAAGATTGAGTCTATCTTTAGAGAACATCTAATGATTACATGGATGCAAAAGGTAGTTTGCATTGTACAAGTACACAGTGAGTTATTTCCTCTAATCTTTTTTTTTATATGGAATTAAGCTCAACTCTCATTCTTAAAGCAACTAACAGGGCTTTATGATAATGTATTGATTTGTTCCTATAAGCCTGACATTTTACTAGCAGAACTATGTATAATTTGAAATCTGGGTGATGCAGTCATTAATGAAAATTTCAAGAGCCTGCAACTGATTCACTTCCATACAGAGAAGTCTGTTCCTGCGTCATTCTCACTCCATAAACACACTCTTCCCACAGTTCTTCAACCATCCAGAAGTTTTGTTTGGTTTTATTTTCTAAGAGGAGAAACCCAAAGAGAAAGAAATCTATATTAATTTGAAAAACTACGTTTGAGAGAGCACACTTTTTGAAAGGGTAACTTTCCTATTTATTTTTTTAGCTACATTTCATGCACATTTAGAGTCCCCAAAATGTTCTTAAAAAGAAATATGGTAAGATCTCAGGACAAAAAGCCGGGTCTCAGTACAGTTTATACCAACTCACTAGGACATCTTCATCCATTTGTCAGCTTCTGGTTTCCAATCTCCTTTCACCAACCGTTCAAAATTTGTGACAATGCTACCACCTGCACCTAAAAATAAGATAATAAAACAATAATATTTATTCAAATTTTCTAGAGAAAATATTTGAAATGAAGCCATAATTCTATCCCCTGACTTAAAATGCCAAAGAAGATCCCCAAAATATAATTCTTGGGAGGAAGAAAAAAGTTGCCTTGTACATTTATGATACTGAAACAACTGCAATTCTTCTCTTTCACCAGTATGGCAACTGTCTATTGTACCATAATTAAGGTTAAAATTGGGACCTCAGGCACAGAGATGTGGCTAGAGGTTTCAGACCCAAAAAATAAAATCCTCTGCTTTATCATTTCCTTCCCTGATATTAGCTTTAGGTGCAGTATACTATAACAAGAGATTAGAGAAATTTGTTCAATTCCTACGTACAAAAGAACTCAACAATAAATGTAAGCAACACAGAGTGAACATGAACCCATAATCAATCATATTTATTATTTCTAGTTATTCAGGATGAAAAAAAGACAAGAAAACAGAGCAATGTTTCTTTCATCTACATGTACCACATAATTTCTTATGTAAACTTGTTTTATCTATACTGGCACTACACCTTAATTAACTAGGAATTCCTCTGGTTCAGGGGATGCTAATCAAGCCAATCATAAAAATTTTATATTATAAGACAGGCTCAAAATAATAGCTGATGACTAATAATAGTGAAAAGTGCTAGTTTTGATTAACTTTACTAGCCAACAGAAACAAGGCTTCCATCCTCCAAAAAAGATTCTGTTATTAAAGTATGTGGTCCCCTGTAATGTAATTAGAGAGTTGCTCGGTAGTCGCAGTTCACCAATAACAGAACATTTATGAATACATATCGTTAATATTACCTCGGGCCCATCCAATAGCTATCATGACTATCCAGCCATTTTTGTAATAGCTATCAGCATGTGTGACTCCACCTACTATTTTCCAAGTTCTGGTCACTTCCTTCATTCCGGCAGCCAAGACTTCAACAGGTAGGAAAGAATAGCCCTGGGAAACTAGGTCATATGGGCAAAAAAATATAATATACCTGAAATTAAAATTCAAATATTTTAATATAAAAATGGAGTCAGAAAAACAAAATTAAAATCCAGCATATCAGCAATAACAATTTGGCGAATCCAACAAATGGAATTATCCATATAAACATGAAATTTGACTTCAAGAAGACCACAGATTGGGTCAATTTTTTTAAATCTCATGAAGCACATAAAAGTCATGATCAAAGGAGAATGTAAATTTTGGACTTCTGAATACTCTATGCAAAAAGTATTTACTGAGTTCCTAATTTGCGCCTATACTGTTCTAAAAGCTAACTGCTGAATCCACCAACTAAATAAAGCAAAATGTACAATCACCTCTCAGGCAGGGACTTCTCTAGCTAGAATGTCTTTGTCCTGCGAGAAAAGGAATTAGAAAAGGGCCCTGGTAGCTGAGCAAGGGCTACATTTTAACCCCACTTACATCTTCACCTGTGCCCCTTTGGGCAGCACATAAACCGCAACCTACGCAAAGAAGGTTAGAGCACTCAAGGAGACACATTTGTGTTAAGGAAAAACATGTTTTCACACAGCTGAAAGAATATGGAGCTTCTTTCTCAATTTAGGTGAGTAAGCTTAAGTTTTAACCAATTAAATTGTGACATTACTTTAATAATAATTCACTCCTTGTGGTCTGCTCTGGCCATAGGTGCTAACACAGTTTTTTGCTGTTTTCTGCAGTTAAGCACAGTGGAAATATCACCTTTGACAAAACTCTCAACACTGCCCGACAGATGTGACACCAGTCCTTGGCCAGAGAACTCTCTGGAACCACTACACAGATCCTGGGGACTGCCCAGTCTGTGGCCCGCAATGTTAATGGCCACCACACTCATGACATCATCGATGACATCAAGAGTGGTGTGGTGGTATGCCTGGCTAGTTAAGACACACCGAGGACAATACTTCAATAAAGGATCACTTGGAAACGGAAAAAACAAAACAAACAAATAATAATAATAATTCACTCCTCCTCAGGTGAATTATTTTCTGAAGTTTCATTTGTCCTAAGCATCTGTTCAAACAATTTAGCAGTACTGTTAATTGAAAAACACACTAGTTTTCTCTCCCCCACTCCTAAAATACTCTCTGGTAGACAATTTCGTGCTTAAAGCAGAATATATTTTCTTCCTAATGGAGTGCTATGGTATACACTGCATGAAAGAAGTATTATATCTCTTCTAAAAGAAGTTGTTAATCTTATTGCAATTCATGATTCATAAAGTCAGAATTCCCAAAAGCATTCATGGAATATGAAATCTATTTGCCAAAATACGGCTTCAGAGACCAATACAAGATGCAATGGTTTATTCAGCCCTCAGCACCTTTTCTTCTTCATCTCCACTTACCAATTCGTTCTTATTCTTCAATGTCCCACTCAAATACTACCATATACATTGACTTTGGGAGTTTTGTTTTATTTAATATTCTCTGTTCAAACTAAATTCTGACGGCTCTGTACAACTAAAACATTTGGTTCCTATGCCCCAACATAGCTCTTTATACATTTTTCTTTATAATATACAAAGGCTGTAACGCTCATAACAAATTATAATAGTCCTTAGACAGCAGGACTCACTCATCTTGTCACCCCGTCACCTAAAGCCCAGAACGATGAAAAGCGGCCCTGAATTAAGTCATTTATTAGCAGTCAATGTGGGGGCAAATTACAAAATATACCAAATCAAAGAATCACTTGATAATTAAAGAGTTTGAGAGAAAAAAAATTATCTGAGAGTAGTAAAAACCTTTATGAAAATAACTGGCATGATTTTAAAACTTTACATGTTCATATAATATTTTGAAAGCCTCCATACACTTCTATCTTTAAATATAGACTAAATCTCCAGGAAGCCAATTACGTATTGGGGGGGGAGGGGAGTTACACTTAAATGAGTAATTTGAAAATGTATTTTTAAATAAAACAAAAATGTGTTGGTATCCACTGTAAATTAAGAAAGGAGGATTTGGTTTCACTTGAGCAGTAATGAATGCTCAAAAGCAAAAACACTCAAACAAAAAGAAAACAAATGATCCATTTTCATTCTCTACACCAAAACTATCTTCAACATGAGTTAAAAATTTATACTAGTGGCAGAGCAATCTTAAGACTTTTCATATTCAACTCTGTGACATTATGGCATACAGTGTAAAATTTATAATTATTGCTGTTTTTGAATTAAAAAGTCTTTAATCAGATATTTCTAAAGCATCTCCATAATAAGCTAACATTTTAAACAGAAAACAGTTCTTGGTTCAAGTGTTAAATAGCCACAGGGCAAAAGGACAATTGTTGATTGTGCTCAGTAGACTTAAAAGTAAACATATCAGATCAATGGCTCCCCAAACAACCATTCCTGCTTATAATCCAAGGGAGCTTTTTAAATTCCTTTAATGAATCACTCAACCAACGCTCATTAAGCAATCATCATGTCTTTCCTTCTGTAAAGATTATAATTCTACCTTTAAATAAAACTGTCACTCCTAAGCAACTTTTAACTTGTAAAATGCTTAAAGAAAACATATTGGAAAAGAAGAAGAAATGGGGCATATTGACAAGAAATGGAAGGAAAAGACGATTTCTTATACATTTTTAAGTCAATTAGGTTAATGGAGAAACGAAAACAACAGAGAATAGTGCCAAATAATAGAAGTTAATCTAAAACAGAGTACGAACAGGATGCTAGGCCACTGACAACTGAAAGCCAAACCAGTTTAAGTAGGAAAGGTGAAAGTAGAATTTAGGTTAATATCAAGAGTTGAGCAGAGAGAAGCTTCCTACAGTTAGTCACTGAGAACTCTGTTTTCACCCTGCTATTAATTCTACTCCTCTATCAAAGACAGTATTATTTAACTAAGCCAAAACAGAACGATAAACTAAATACAGTTCATATTAGTCCAATATGACAGCTTTGCTCTTACTCTTATTACTCTAACAAATTAATAATTTTATGTATATGTTTTGAAAAAGACTATTGCTGAAAGACAGAACTATAAAACTATATCTTGTCTTTTTCCTCATAAAAATGCAGTCTCAGTTACACAAATGTGCAATACACAATAACTGATACTTGTAAGTTTAAGGAAAACAAACTGGGACATAAAAATCAATACACAGAAAAATTGCAAAATATTTATCTCCCCCAAAAACAGTTTTCAACAAGAAAAATCCTATGAAAGTGTCTGCTGTCTTCCAAACAATACTACACCACGACATGCCCAGCTATTGTTTCCCTCTGCCAGTAGATGGTGCTGATCTCCAGAGTGAGCACGATGAGCTACCGTGCCAAAGACGACCTTTCCGACAAGCGCACGCACAGAAGCCCTTAGTTCAGCTTGCTGGAGATTAAAGTAATTCCAAACACCATTTTATGTCCCAAAATAAAATCAAATAAAGCAAAGATTACAAATTTCTTCTCAACATTAAAATTTTAAAAAGGGAAACAGTAAAATATTCTGTGTCTTAAAGACAAATATCATTTTTCATATTTAAGGGTCTGTGAGAACAGAGACAATGTTTGTATTCCAGAGTTGAAAACAACACACTGCACAAGAGCAGATAAAAGGATTAGACAGCCTGGGTTCGAATCCTGGCTCCAACTACTGGAAATTGGTGATACCTTGGGCAAGTTAATTAATTTAACCGTTCTTACCTCAGTTATATCATCTGTTAAATGAGAATAAAACAGCACCTACCTTACACGGTTCTTGTGAGGTTTAAGTGAAATAATATATGCAAAGCACTTAGAAAAGTGTCTGGGAACACAGCAAATACTACAGCAGTGCTATCGTTGTTGCTGTTTTACAATGCCCAACAAAACAACTAGAACCAGTAAAAATGCTCATCAACAGAAGGATAAATAAAATATAGATACTAATATAATGGATTATATAGCAGTGAGAAGGAACATACTATAGCTACGTGCAAAAACACAGATGAATCTTAGTAACATAATGTTGAGTGAAAAAAACAAGTTCCAGAGAACAATATACAGTATGATACCCCATTATAAAATAGGGCTGAAAACAAATAAAACTAAATATCTATTATTGAGATATTCATACATACGATACATCTTTTTTTTAAAGGTAAGATAAACACAAACAGGATAGAGGTTATCTGTGGGAAAAGTAACGAGAGATGAGGGGGGGGGAAGAGATACATGAGTATATGTAGGTTATTGGTAAAGTCCAGTTCTTGGGTTGGGTGCAATGAAGTAAAAATGTAAATTAGCATAACCACTTTGGAAGTGATTTGACATTATCTAGTAGAGTTTAAAAATCACTTTCCCTGACTTACAACTAGGATATACAACTATGTACTGGGGCTTTAGGGAGGGAAAAAAAAGAGGAAGACTGGCAACAGATGTTAGTTCAGGGCCAATCTTCCTCAAAAGAAAAAAGAAGGGGGAGCTGGCTGAATACTGCAATGGTTAAGTTCACACGCTCTGCTTCAGCAGCCCAGGTTTCGCAGGTTCAGATCCTGGGCGCAGACTTAGGCACTGCTCATCAAGCCATGCTGTGGTGGCATCCCACATACAAAACAAAGAGAGAATGGCACAGATGTTAGATCAGGGACAATCTTCCTCAAGCCAAAAAAAAAAACCAGGACGACTGGCAATGGATGTTAGCTCAGGGACAATCTTCCTCACAAAAAAAAAAAAGGGAAGAGTATAGTATGTAATAGCTGTAACTATGATAGTGTAGAATAGTATATCTATTTTAAAAATGAGAAGAGGATCAGAAGAGGTATGCAAAAAAATTAATGTTTCAGTAATCATACGGTAGTAGTTTTAGTACGGTTACTCTAAAACTATTGTGTATTGCGTGCATAATAGAGAATAAAACAAACGCGTAATGTTGGAATATTCTAATTCTATCACGTCTTGTGCCCTTAAGAACTAAAATTCTTAGAGTGGAAAAAAGGAGATACGTATGTAACAGAGAGAGGTTAAATAAAAGCTCAAGGGTCTTGAATGCATTACAAATATCAATATGAACCCGCGTTATTTTATCCTTATTTTTCCCTAACTCTGTCCCCTAAAAAGGCCTAGAAACAATAATCAATCCACCAATAATGAACATCTCTAGTGCTCAGAGTGTGGTCTTGAAATGCTATTTCTCACTAAAAGAAACCAGAGCTTCTTAGAGAAATGAGAGATTCCAGAAGAAAAGTACAAGATGAATCTTATATTAAGTAGCAGGGAAGCTAATCAAAATCCCAGGAGCCAGTCTGAAGAAGCTCCCACTGGCCAAAAATGAAACAACTTGAGCTTCAATAATGACAGTAATTGCAATTTATTGAACCCTATGAAAATGCTTGAATGCACTCATAATTATTTTTAAAAAAACCAAACTGGTCACCTCTTGAGGATGACAGGAGACCAATTCTTATCTTAAAAACTGGTAAGTAAGGGCCAGCCCCACGGCCTAAGTGGTTAGGTTTGGCATGCTCTGCTTCAGCAGCCCGAGTTCAGTTCCCGGGTGTAGACCTACACCACTCATCAGTGGCCATGCTGTGGCAGCATCCCAGATACAAAATAGAGGAGGACTGGCACAGATGTTAGCTCAGGCAGAATCTTCCTCAGCAGGTAAATAAACAAACAAACTGGTAAATAAAGGGAAAGAATCAAGTATTTATCCTGCCTTTCCTATATGAATTGTACAACTGGGTAACCAAATAAGAGATGATTAGTGAGAAGTATCTATTTACAATTCTATTCCAACTAACACATAAGGAGAAAAGACAGAATTAGACTATTAACATTTTGCTATTTCCAATTAATTGATACAGTCATTAAGTATAAAAGGGTGCTAATGTCAACAAAAAGAGAACTAATCAGCCATTTGGGGCCTCTTATGGTCTTGCTAAAGGAATCTAACCTGAATCTGATTTGGTTGAATCTGATTGATTCTGGATCAATCTGCCAATTTTCAGGCAACACAGAGAATAAAGGAATATAATGATCTGCACTTATGAGAATGCGATCAGCAAACTCCAGACTATGGAAAACTCTACGTGTCAAATGGTACTGGTTCTTCAAGAGATAAATTATAAGGAAAAAAAAGGAATGGAGGGGGGACCCATAAAGTAAAAAAGACTTAAGAGACATCAAATTTTTTTTTTTTTTTAAGATTTTATTTTTTTTTCCTTTTTCTCCCCAAAGCCCCCTGGTACATAGTTGTGTATTCTTCGTTGTGGGTTCCTCTAGTTGTGGCATGTGGGACGCTGCCTCAGCGTGGTCTGATGAGCAGTGCCATGTCCGCGCGCAGGATTTGAACCAACGAAACACTGGGCCGCCTGCAGCGGAGCACGCGAACTTAACCACTCGGCCACGGGGCCAGCCCCAAGACATCAAATTTTTTAATGGACATGAGTAAATTATAGTGTCCAGGGACAAACATTTGGATGACAAAATTATAAAAATAAGCAAGAAGTGATTACCATAAAAGTCACGATAATGGTGTGTTATTGTAAGGGTTACCTAAGGCAGGACGGGGGTTGTGATTGAACAGGACACACAAAAGGGACTTCTAAGATGGATGACAAAGCCGTATTTCTTGATTTGGGTAGTGATTTCAAGGATACACTTTACAATAATCCATTAGGCCATATATTTGGTTTTTGCGGTTTTCTGAATTTTCACTTTATAAGAAAAAGCTTTCTTTAAGTGGTAATTTTTTTCTTACTCTAAATGATAGATATACAAGTTTTTATTATATCACAATTATTTATACTTTGCATATATTTTATAAATATTTTTTGTACCTGTTCAATACAAAGTAAAAAATTTTTAAAAGAGAAGGACTTTCTTTTTCTTTTTCTTTCTTTTTTTTTTTTTGCTGAGGGAGATTTGCCCTGAGCTAACATCTGTTGCCAATCTTCCTCTTTTTGTATGTGGGCTGCTGTCATATAGCATGGCCACTGACAGACGAGTTGTGTAGGTCCACACCTGGGAACTGAACCTGAGCCGCCAAAGTGGAGTGCACCAAACTTGACCACTAGGCCACCGGGGCTGGCCCTAAACTAAAATTTTTTAATTGAAAAACATTGTTCTTGATGAAAACTCTTCTTGGTTAAGATCACAGTCTAAATGCTGAATGGAAATCCAGACCCCACCATTTACCAACTTTCTAAGCCTCAATTTCCTCTTATCTAAAATGGGGATAATCAGGGCCGGCCCAGTGGCATAGTGGTTAAGTTCGTGTGCTCTACTTTGGCGACCCAGTGTTCACAGGTTCAGATGCTGGGCACAGATCTACACACCACTCATCAAGCCATGCTGTAGCAGTGTCCCACATACAAAATAGAGGAAGATTGGAATAGATGTTAGCTCAGCAACAATCTTCTTCAAGCAAAAGGAGGAAGATTGGCAACAGATGTTAGCTCAGGGCCAACCTTCCTCACCAAAAAGAATATAAATAAATAAAACGAGGATAATAAAAGATATGAGGTTAATAAAAATCAAATACTAATACTACTAATTCACTATATAAAAATGTACTTCTCATTTTCCATTTCTAATCAAGATTTATAATTCCTTGCTACTCAATTACAGAAATCCCTTATAATATGACAATACATAGCAGTCTATTCCTTTAGCAATGTATTTACTGAGCCTAGAACAGTACTTGGCACACGGTTAACAAAGTCCCTGTTCTGATAGGGTGTTATTCTAGTGGAGTGAGACAGACCAACATAAAAAGAAATAAACAGATAATATGCCAGGTAATAATAAGTCTAAGAAGAAAAATAAGGAAAGATGTGTGATAGTCATGGGAGAGGAGGTGCTATTTTAGTCAGGGAAGACTTCTCTAAAAAAAGAAAATATGAGCCTCAGGGGAAAGGACATTATAGAGAAAAGACAGCAAGCACAAAGGCCCTGAGGTAGAAGAACACTTTATGTGTTCAAGAAATGGCAAAGCCAATGTGACTACAGGAGACTGAACAGGAGTAGAGTGGAAAAGACATTACATCAAAGAGAGTGGAAGGGAAGATTTCCTAGGGTTTCATAGGCCACGGTAAGAGTTTTGTATTTTGTTCTTAAGATAAGAAACTACAGAGCATAGGAATATTATGTTCTAACTTATTTTACAATAATCCCTTCGTCTGCTACATGAAGAATAGCCTCGGGTATAATGAAAGAAGCAGCTAGACCCCTTAGGAAGCTACTGCAATTGTCATGCAAGAAACAGTGGTGGTTGGTCTACAGGAGTAGAAGAAGTAATGGAAACTGTCAGATTCTCCGTATCCTACTCTTTACATAGTTTCAGTAGCTACACACATAAAAACATTCTCCAAAACGCTAAAATCTTTTAAAAATATTGTTACAGAAATAAAAGTCCTTAAGAAAGTCTTTCAAAACACATAGCACCTGGAAGACTATACTTTAAGAGATGGTTAAACAAATCTATGAGAGAAGTGGCTGGTCAGTGCCAAGGCTCTAAAGTCAAACTTCCTGGTTTTGATCCTAGCTCAATCACTTACTAAATACGAAAATTTTAGCAAAGTTTCACTATGCCTCAGTTTTGTCATTTGTCAATTGGGAATACTACTAATAATAGCTACCTCAAAGGACTTGTGATTAAATATGAAAAGTGAATATAATGAATTTAGCTGACATACAGTAATAATTCAACAAATATTAGCTATCAAATTTATTATTCTACTGCTACTAGTTTCCACTGCCACAGGTTCCCACTATTACTTTTTCCCATTGCCACTACTATTTATAATATTTCCTTTTATGACTGGTTATATATTCATTTAAAAATTATCCCAATAAAAATGAACTTTAAGTGTTCCTAACATGTTACATATTTCATTGATAGAGTTTTTTAATGAAAAGCATAGTTTTTGCTATAGATATAACAAGTACTGTGATTTGTATTATGCTTTTGTTTAACTTGATGGATCAATCCTTAAGGATACCTGAATTTGGGTGTGCAAAACTCCAAAGTAATTCCTAACATTTTTTCTTCACTTCAAAACTAAATTCAAAACAAAATTAATGTTAAATTTCATAAAGTTCTGACAGATCCAACAAAGAGTATGACAGGAATAATTATTGCATATGAATCATAATCAATTAGACTTCGTGTGGTTGGTCACATTCTTGATTTTATCCTGTTGTATATCTGCATGTATGGGTTAGGTTCACAAGATAAACTGTTTGGGGCCAAATATCTGATGCTCTTTCATGTTTGAATGCCTCCACTACAGATACATTAGATAATGGTAATAACTGTCTCTGGGAGGGCAAGGGAGAAGGGTTAGAAAGAGACATACTTTACACTTAAAACCTTTGGCATGTGGGTTTCTTCCCTTGCACATGCATTAACTTTCAAGAAGATAAAATATTTTTTAAAGCAAAAAGTTCCATTTACTAATAATTTACAAAACAATTTTTAAAATGACTCATAGTTCACCACAATGGCAGCTTACCAGATTGCAGATGCCAGTAATATATTAGTGTTGTTTGCAAGAAACCTCAATACAGGCTCGCCAAGCAGCACACAGGATAAGATTCCTCCACCAAAGCAGTGGAGCATCGCAGTAAACCAGCTTGAAAAAGGGTTCTTCCGGGCCTCTGCTGCTGCTCCTGAAACGGTACAGTAAAAACGTGGTCTGACAGCTGTACACGAAACAAGTCTCAGGTATCAGTGGCACTAAAGAAACAAACTTCTTAACTTCATAACTTTCAGGAACTTAACATTACTCATAGGTGTGACAATCACAATCATCAAAAACCATACCTTTTGTTCTTTAGATCAAGACTAGAAACATTTTGTTAAGACATGGGTGATTGGGCACCTTTAAAATACTCCGTTCAGGCTCTTATTGCCAGTTTCTTACTAGTAGATTATTATAAACAATCTCCCCATCTACTGTCTCCTTTCATTCCCAATCCTACTGTAAGTACTCCTAGTCAGTATGTCAAAGCAATACATTAAGAAAAATTTATAATCTTAAGTACTTCAAAAATAAAAGGTGAGATAAATAAAATAAGCCTTCAACATGGACAGGCTAGAAAGCAAACAATAAAACAAACCCAGAGGTGAAAGGCTGATGAGGAATAGAAATTTACATCATCTCAAAACACTGCCTAAGAAATTACTTATTAATTACAGAAGGAAATAACTTCAGTGGAGAAATCGTGCAGACGTCACTGTAAACAAACAACATCGGGTGACTCCTGATATGACGCACTAAGAACGTATCATCACTTCTGTGGTATTTCTACCAAAAATGTATAACCTGAACTAATCTAAGCAGACACACCCAAATTAAGGGCTATTCTAAATAAATTTTTAAAAACAAAGAAAAAGGGGGTGGCCTGGTGGCACAGCAGTTAAGTGCGCATGTTCCGATTCAGCAGCCCGGGGTTTGCCAGTTCGGATCCGGGGTGCGGACATGGCACCGCTTGGCAAGCCATGCTGTGGTAGGCATCCCACATATAAAAGTAGAGGAAGATGGGCATGGATGTTAGCTCAGGGCCAATCTTCCTCAGCAAAAGGAGGAGGATTGGCGGCAGATGTTAGCTCAGGGCTAATCTTCCTCAAAAAAGAAGAAAAGAATAAAAGAGAAAAAAGCCTGGCCTATACTTTAACAATGTAAAGGTCAAGAAACACAAGAAAAGGCTGATGAAATGTTCCAGATTAAATGACATTAAAGAGACAACAACTAAATGCAGTGCATATCCTAGATCATATACTGGAGTAGAAAGAATATTTATAAAAGAACTTTTTGGACAACTGATGAAATTTAAATATGGATTGTGGCTTAGATAACAGCATTGTATCACTGTTAAATTTCCTGATTTTGATAACTGTACCATGGTTCTTAAAATTAGCACACTTAAGTAATCAGAAGAAACTGGGTAAAATGCCTCCAATTTACACTCAAGTGGTTCTGAAAAAGTAATATGCATAAATAAAAACATTGAGAGAGAAAATGCTAAAGTACAAGCTTCCAGTTATAAGAACAAGTTCCGGTGATCTAATGTACAGCATAGTCACTATAGTTAATAATACTGTATTGTATACTTGGAATTTGCTAAGACTAGATCTTAAGTGTTATCACTCCCTCCCCCAAAAAAAGGTAACTATGTGAGGTGATGGAGGCGCTAACTGACTTGATTGTGGTAATCACTTCACAATGTATATGTATATCAAATCACCACACTGTACATTTTAAATACATATCATTTTTGCAATTATACCTCAATAAAGTTGGAAAGAAAAATAAATTGGGCAAAATGTAAGTAGTTGGTGAACCTAGGTAGAGTATATGGGAGTTCCTTGACCTACTCTGGCAACTTTTCTCTAAGTTTGAAATTATCAAAGGAAAAAGTACACAAAAATAAACTCAGCTAGAGAAATAGTAGCAATTTATAAAAACAAAAGTAGAAACTAATTAAATAGATGCTAAAATCGGGAGGTAGAGATGGGCAATCAATAAAGCCAACACAAAGCAGTTGTTGGAAAGGACCAATAAAACAGATCATTGCTCAGTAAGTTTCAGAAGGGGAGGGGGCATGCAAATAATGCTAACATTAGAAAGAAATTATTTTAGTCAGAGATTTTTTTAATTATAGGAAAATAACCTGTATTTCACCTAGTAAATGTGAAGATATAGTTGAAATGGACAGTTTTCTAAGAAACTATAAATTAGGAAAATTCTCTTAAGAACAGATAGAAATCTGACCATACAAATAACTATGGAAAAAAACTACAGGGCAGTCAAAGATCTATCCTAAGAAAGTTGCCAGCCTCAGATAAATTCATAGAAAACATTTACCAAATTGTTTTGGATTACTCATTTTTATGCTATATAACCATTATAGAATTTAGCAAAGGAGAAAAATTTAAATCATTCCATGAAACACATAAGGCCAACATCAAAAGTTATAAAGAAAAGAAAAAAGAGAGAATCAGTGAGAAAGGAGGAAGGGAAAGAGACACGGAGGGAGGGAGGAAGAGAAGGAGGGAGGAAGGAAAAAAGAGAGAAACACTATAATTCTAACTTATGAGTATAATGCACAAATATATTAATAAAAAGTTGAAATCAGCAGTTTTTTGAAAGGATAATAAATCATGACCAAGTAGATTTTACCAAAAGAATTTAAGGAAGGTTCAATATTCAGAAATTCATGAAAATCATTCACTATACTAACAAATTATTATGATCACTCCCTTGGTCAGACAGTAAAAGGTCACTTGATAAAAATTTCACATTCTTGATTTTTTAAAAAAATCTAGCAATCTGAGAACAGAAAGATAAGTTCTTAACCTGAATAAAGCCATGAAGGAGATTTCAAATTTGACTTCAACAAAATTTAAAACTTCTATATTACAAAAGACTGGGACAGAATGTTTTTTCAATACACACAAGGCAAATTCCAACAAATCAACAGAAAAAGACAATCAACACAATAGAAAAATCGGCAAGTCACAAAGCAGCAACTATAAATGACTAATAAACATACCAAAAAAAGGAAAGTCCTCAACTCATCAGTGATCAAGGGAAAACGAGAGGCTATTTCACACACACCTAATTGGCAAAAAAAAAAAAAAACCTACAGCTTAATATTAATAAATTGGCAAAGATGTGAAGCAATTCATATACTCTTGTGAAAGTATAAACAGGTAAACCATCTTGAAGAACAATTTGGCAATATCAATTAAAATTTTAAATTTAAAATTGACTCAAGTGCCCAAGAAGTTCCATAAATATTAAAGCAATGCTGCTTATAATGCTGTGAAAAAATGATAACAATCTAAGTGACCATCATCAGAGGATCAGTTAAACAAACCATGATCACTTATACTATACAGGAGCAACTCAAGAATGTGGTAGATCAATACCAACATGGGAAGAGCCCCAAGACATGCTGTTGAGTAAAAACAAAACACCAAATACAATCATACTGGACAACAGTATTACAGCATGGAATCATTACAGGCGAAAATGCAAAGATCACACATTTCTATAGGCACATACATATACATGGAATGCACAGAAAAGGGTCTGCAATACACCAAAATGTTAACTGTTATTATCTCTTGAGACAAGCCTGGAATTAGGAAAGATGGTCAAAGGGGCTTTAAATTTATTTAATTATATTCATTATATTATTTAATTATATTTAAATTCTTTAAAATAAAATATCCATTTATTAATTGTATAATTAAACAAATCTTAACAAATTAGGTCACATCCAATCTGAGGAATACAACACATTTATTCAAAAACAGGTGGCAGCTTTACATGCACTGACCTGACAAAAAGGCAACCATATGTATGTAAACAATATGTACAGTAAAAAATCACTTACAGTGGAAAAACAGAAAACTAGACATTTCTCTAGGTACATACACATGCAGGTCACGCATAAAATAAAGTCTGCACGAACATACAAACAAACTGTTAACTGTTGTTACCTCCTAGGAAGAGGCCCACACATGCAAAAACAAACAACAAAAAAACAACTACGCATGGGGCTGGCCCCGTGGCCGAGTGGTTAAGTTTGCGCACTCCGCTGCAGGCAGCCCAGTGTTTCGTCGGTTCGAATCCTGGGCACGGACATGGCACTGCTCGTCAGACCACGCTGAGGCAGCGTCCCACATGCCACAACTAGAGGAACCCACAACGAAGAATACACAACTATGTACCGGGGGGCTTTGGGGAAAAAAAGGAAAAAATAAAATCTTTAAAAAAAAATTAAAAAATTAAAAATAAATAAAAAAAACAACTACGCAAATGTATGTGGGGGTTCAGCAGAGTAACATCATCATACTTTTATTAACATGGAAATTCATCTATATGTGCTCAGAAAAAAAAAAAGAAGGAGGTAAAAATTTAAATAGCACAACCCACCATTCCACACAACAAAATGTGCCCAGAAGTGAACATGAGTTGGCAGACGTGAATTTTCTGTGGTGTACGCATCCTGTCAATTGAAGTGACGCCAAGGTTTAATGATAAGCATCTGGTGATAACTCAAGAAATGGTGACCTGTTCCAATCTGGAAGAAAAATTAGTTATGAGAAACTTACTAAAAGACAGGATGTCAATCTCCAGTGTAGCAACTTCCCCTAAACCTAAGAATTTTCAAGTTATTTTGATGATACATGGTCATAGTCTTTAGAGCCAAATCTCTATGTAAGATGCGACACCACTATGTCTCTAGCACACATATACTGTTATCTATCTAAGTATGTGTATAGGCTCTGTTCACTATTGCCCCATATGATGTACACCCCGTACAGGTGATTGACTATAACACCGGTCAGTCAGCGCAGTTAATGAGTATGATCTTTTTTTGGTCAGTGGACACTAGCTGCCATAATGAGCCATCCTCATGTTGAAAGGCAACGTAGAGTGCTTAATAGTATGGACTGTAGAGCTTAATTGCCCAGGTATAAATCCTGGCTCCAGCACTTTGCTTTCCTACATCTTTAAAATAGATGAAGATATAGATATAGATATACGGACATAGATATACATACAGATCTAGATACACAGATAAAAGAGGAAAAGGGAAAAAATATCCTACCTCACAGCAAGGTAGGCCTGTAAGGACTGACTACAGGTGGGTACATTTAAAGCACTCAGAATAAATGCCTGGCACATAATAAGCAATAAATATTAGCTATCACTATGACTACAGAAGAAAATAGAAATAAAAAGCAAAATTACTTTTTCCTCTCTACTTCTACCATTCAATCACACTCCTCTCCTGAGGAGTGACACTTTCATATTTTTTTTCTATGCTTATTTACACATACACACTCCTTTTGCCCCTTGTCTTTTCTCTCCCCTAACCCCACTCCATGTGTGTTTGTGCGTGTGTGTCTCTCTCTCACAGGCATGCCCTGGTTAGCTCTGGGGACACAGTCTGCAAATGGGAGGGACCTCTAACCATATAAGAGCTATAATGTGTCCATCACAGCAGTCACTATGAAGACACATTCCTAGGTAACTGATTACTTCTGATAAATATACAATACGGGAATACTGGCTCATGTCTCTATCCTCTATATTCCTTAGTACTGTTCTAATGGAAGATTTAGAGTTATTTTCATCTGATTAGCAGACATTTGGTCCTATCCAAAACATCCATAAGACATCTGATCCATACTAAAAGGTCCTTAACATTTGGTCCTGTCCAAAACATCCATAAGACATTTGGTCCATGCCAAAAGGTCCTTCATATTTGGTCCTGTCCAAAACCATTTGGTAAAACTCCTGGACATTTCATACAGGACCAAATGTCCTACAAGGCTTTCATCCATCTGACACTCGCCACTCACTGGCTTAGCCAAATTCAAATATATCCAGGTTTTCCTTGACCACTAAAACAATTCAAATCAAATTTACTAAATGGTTTCACACAAATTATTAACTCACGAAATATTCATTTCTGATTAAGTCTGTCAAAATAACTTTCCTTTTCCCTCAACTTTCTCATTGTCTTATTCTTTCCTCTTAAGACATATCACATTCTAGATTTTGTTCACAAGTATTAGCTCCATTATAAGATTGTTACCCCTTGAGACTTGATGAGACTTTTGCATAAAGTGGGTGCTCTATAAATGTTTATTGTATCACAGAAAAATACATGTGCAATATTTCAGGAGTTTATGTATTACAAGTTTTGTTTTTTGGGTTTTTTTTTGAGGAAGATTAGCCCTCAGCTAACTACTGCCAGTCCTCCTCTTTTTGCTGAGGAAGCCTAGCCCTGAGCTAACATCCGTGCCCATCTTCCTCTACTTTATATGTGGGACGCCTACCACAGCATGGCATGCCAAGTGGTGCCATGTCCACACCCAGGATCCAAACCAGTGAACCCCGGGCCGCTGAGAAGCAGAGCGTGTGAACTTAACCACTGCACCACCGGGCTGGCCCCATAAGTATTACAAGTTTTTTTTCCACTAATTTCCCTTAGTATTGCAGTGAGTCAGAGAGGCAGTTGTGATTGCATACCAGTTTTGTGACCTCTTTGGAGGACCTTAACTTATCTTGGCTTAAATTTCAACTTTCATAAAATGGGAATTATATAACAGATAAGGATTTAAAATGAGAGAATACACATAAAAACACATAGCACACACTACACATGGTAGACACTGTTGATTTATCTGCTGAATGGATTGATGACTAACAGCAGAGAAAATAAACAAAGTGCAACCCCTGGGCTGCTTCTGACTCAATTCTCTGAGCCCAAGATATAATTCTTTTGAGTTCTCATTGCAATGCTGGGATGAGAACACCACATATGGTACTGAAAAAGCACTCATAACTCCAACAGTCTTAAATCAATAAAACTAAGATTTTATTAGACCAAAAAAGAGAACAGAGTTAAAGGGAGGATCTCCCTTACATAAGTCTTTTCACTTAATTTTCAAAATTATGTCAGTCAGAAGAACTTCTCTAACTCAAATATGCCTTTCTATAAAGCTCTTTTCAGTACACACACGATGGTAATACAGTTTACTTTATGAGGCAATCTTATGACAAAGTTCTTTGAGTGTTATGTTCCTTTGCATGAATCACGCTAGTAGCAGAATTAGTTTAATGTGAAGTTAAACTATGAAAATATATAAAGTTAACCAGAAACAGCTGGTATATCTTTAGGGAATATAAATAACTTTTAGTTGGAAAAAATAGCTAATATATCTTTAATTCCTTTTCAACTTTAAAACAAAGATGTATTCCTTTTAGCTAGGGAAAAAGTTGTGTCATAAATTAGGATACATTATTTTATTTTTAATATACTAAGATTTAAAAGAGAAAAAAATATTCTCCATACTACCTAGAGTTAAGATGTTTGTGATGTGCTATTGATAGATTTTCCCCAAAACCCTTAGCAAAATTTGTTGCATTGAGACCTAAATCTAATTCAAAGTATAAGATCTTTAAAGTACTTTAACATCAAAATATTTTCATTATGAAATGAAGACTAAAAAGTAAAGTCACATTTCTACCCCCATAAATTCACTTAAAATCACGTCTACAAAATAATTCCAGGAGAGTGACATCAGCAACATGGCAGAGTGAGCTGTTCCCTTTGTCTCTCTCCCTTTTGAACTACAACTAAATGGACATTCATTGACCAACGGAGGAAGCCCACACAGCACAACTGGATGCCTGAGAGACACACACAGCTCTACATCCGAGGGTGCATAGACTGGCCCTCCAGGAAGTAGTGGACATAGGTGAGCACTCCCTGCCCTCCCCCAGTGCCCTATGCACACATAGGAAAGCTTTCCAGCCTGGCAGGAGCACCCCAAAAGTGGGAACATGTGTGGGGCACCATAGGAAGAGGTGGCAGCAGCCCTTAGCCCGCTCATGATCACTTTCCTGGCAGGGGTTGGGGGGAGTGCACTGTGCCCCTGCAGCCCCAAGGAGTGGCCCAATCTCGGTCTCAGGAGGAAGCCCTGCTCTCCAAGCACAGTCCACACAAGCCACTGAGCTCCCCAGGGCAGCACAAGTGCCAACAGTACCCCGATAGCTTCCAGCAGACGGGGGGGAGCAGAAACTCTGCTCCTGCTTCCTCTTAGTGGTAGAAGATGTAATCTGTGAACTAATTCTACCACAAAAACCCTGACAAAAGATTAGTTCATCAAGCACCATGAGAAACTGCAGCAACAATTCAGACCAGAAGGAACATGACAATTCTCCAGAAACCAACCCTGAAGGCACAGAAATTTACAACCTAAATGACAGAGAATACAAAACAGCTGTCATAAAGAAACTCAACAACTTACAAGAGAACACAGAAAGAGAGTTCAATGAGCTCAGGAATAAAATTAATCTCTTCACCAAAGAGGTCGAAACTATAAAAAAATCAAGCAGAAACTGTGGATAGGAAAACCACAATTAATGAAATAAAAAATAATCTAAAGTCCTTAAGAAATAGAGCTAATGTTATAGATGAAAGAATTAGTGATTTAGAAGACAAAAATATAGCCATTCTAGAAGTGAAGGAGGAGACAGAACTAAAATTTTTTTTAAATGAAGGAATTCTTTGAGAAATATCTGACTCAATTAGGAAAAGCAACCTAGGGATTGTAGGTATTACAAAAGGAGAAGAGAGGCGGAAAGGAGCAGAAAGCTCATTCAAAGAAATAATAGCCGAGGACTTCACAAACCTGGGGAAGGAACCAGATTTACAAATACACAAAGCTAATAGAAGGCCTAATTACATGAATCCTAAAAGACCTTCTCCAAGGCATGTAATAGTAAAACTAGCAAAAGCCAAGGACAAAGAAAAAATACTAAGGGCAGCAAGGCAGAAGAAAATAACCTACAAAGGATAGCTTATCAGGCTTTCAGCAGACTCCTTGGCAGAAACTCTATGGGCTAGGAGAAAACGGAATAATATATTCAAAATACTGAAAGACAAAAACTTTCGGCCAAGAATACTCTATTCAGTGAAACTTTCCTTCAGATGCAATGGAGAAATAAAAGCTTTCCCAGATAAACAAAAGCTAAGGGGTTCATTGCCACAAGACCTCCCCTAAAAGAAATAATTAAAGATGCCCTCACAACGGAAAGAAAAAGGCAAACGTCTACAAAGCTTTCAGCAAGGAGATAAATAGACAGACATAATCAGAAAAGCGCAGCTCTCTGTCAGAATAGGGAGGTAAATAATTATAACTTAAAACATAAACGGAAAGAAAGCATCAAAAGTGACTATAGACACTTCGACTTAGTCACAAACTCACAACATTAGACACAATAATTTGTAACAACAAGAACTCAGAAGGGGAAGACGAAAGGGATGGAACTTGCTGAGGTTAACAGAATAAGAGGTTATGAGAAAATGGACTATTTTATCCATGGGATCTTTTATACAAACCCCACGTAACCACTAAACAACAAATTAGAGCAGAGGCACAATTCACAAAAAGAGAGAAAATCTCATCAGAAAACCACCAATATGAAATGGCAGTCAGAAGTACAAAGGAAGAGAAACACTGAAAACAGAAAAACCAGAAAACAACAGATAAAATTGCAGTA